TCCATCCTCTCGTCGTCAAAAGGTATCCACTCCTCCCCACCCATGGTTGATAGCTCAAGCATGGGTTGCACTTTTAGCTACGAAAAAGCCAAAAAACAAGTTACAATCAGACACAAATTGGCAAGAAGGAGAAACACATAGAAAGAAAGCAGTCCGTATCCATACATACACCAGAGATGTTGTCCACAATTCAAAGACCATAAAATCAATCTGCTCATTGTACACATGTACACGATTGCGGTGTCCACGTGCACAACATTTTCTAATGGTCTATCCAGATGGACACTACCGAGGTGTACACCTCTTACACAATTATGTATCCAGCGCAAACATCAATACTATAAACAACAATACAAAATAACGTCCTAGCTTATAACATTTTAGACACACTAGCCACCTACTCACAGAAATAGTTGTGGAGTCGAGTATACCTCAGGGTCGTGCTCAGCGTTACGAATGTCGATTATGTTCAACCCCGCGTGTTTCGGTAAAACGGACTTCTTGTAATCTTTCAACTTCACACTATCATCACCAGACAAACGAGCTAGCAAACAAGGGATGCACTCATAAGCCACAAGCTGTAGCGATAGGGGGAACCCAACCATTTTTGTTGTCTCCTGCATCAGCCGCTTAACGAACTCCCCAATAGGATCTTCAACCTTATCAAGAATCTTAGGGCCAGGCTTCATCGTACTAATTGTCCACAGATAGGACTCTCTCCCCCAAAGAAATGCGAAAAACTTCCTAAGATCCTCCACCAGCATAACATACTTCAAACTCGGCCTTGGAAACTGCGAAGTCCTCACCAAAACACCATCCACGATTATTATGAGACAGAGTCTTAGCCTACGCCAACCCTTCATTTTGTAATCACCAGCAACAACATTGACGAGGTGCTCTAGTGTCATAGCACGGTCATCGCCAATGAGTTTCTCCCAGTACTCGTAGTTCTTATCAGTAGGCTTGGGCTCGTACACGTGAGTGTATCCATCTTCGAACTCACCACAGGGGAGACCCGTAACAGCGCCAAACTCGGCCAATGAGAATCTAAAAGGATTGCCACCAAATACCGGCCATAACTCGAACTTCTTTTTCGTGATCAATTGCCTCACTATCATGGCGTGACCAAGCTTCCCCGACATCGCACACCGGCGGGCAGGTAGTTCCATAAGCCTCCCAAAAGGTGACCGCATCAAAATATCCCACTCCTCCGAGCCTTCCAAGACATCGCGCACAAACAAAAGCAAATCAACCGTCGAATAACAATTTAACCGCCGATCGGGGAATCGATCCGTAGCAAACAATCGCTTAGGAAGCTTCAAGTCCACACCATCGCCGTCGCCTCCCCCTGAAATGGAAACGACCCACAAAATAATTATCACCCAGCCCCAAAATTGAAGTAGTTTTAAACAAAAAAAAAAACCAATCAAAAACTCACCGTCGCCGCTGCGTCCACCAGAGATTTCTTTTCCGGGCCGTTTCCGTCGAGAAGACATTCGCGAATCTGAGATTAACCGAGAATGAGATGCTAAACCCCCGTAGACCTCGCCGTCGCACGATTCACTACAAAGGAGGAGGTTTCGTGTTCGATGGAAAACAAAAGGACAGCCAATGAGAAGAAGAAGAAAATGTCTCAAGTTAAAAAGGGTTTATTATTCCGTCTCGGGTACACAACTGCCAACAAAACAGTATATTTGAATTTTAAAAAGACAAAAACAAGAGTAACGAAACCTAACTAGAAGGGTACCACAATTATATGTTTAGTTACACAATCTAGAGGGACTTTTTGTGTCTTTTCACACAATAACTGCTCCTGTAGGGGAAACTGCCTCCACGTGCAAGAGAATCTTGGAAACTGTCTCCAGATAAAAATAACTCTTTAGATATTATATGAAAAACAAATATAATGTATATTGAACATTTGAGATATTATAGTTTAATATCATCTAGGTATTTTGTCCGCACTTGCGGACCTAAACATTTTATAATTATTTTAATAATATACATTTACTAATTGAAAGATTATAATGATAAATTATTATTTATGTTTTTTTGAAACCAATAATATTTGTATTTTCATTTAAACATTCTTACATATATTTCTTTGTACAGTATGTTCACTATTAAAAATAAATCTTAAAATCAAATAATATTTTTAATTATATAAAATTAAGAAATTTATTTGATTAATATTTACTTATGTATTTTCTATTTTTTATTAAAATATATTTTTAGATAACAACACAATATATATAGGAATTATCTTATTTAAATACATATTATTTAAATTTTGGATAATTTTTATGATTATAATTAGTTTTAATTACTTATTTAATTCAAATAATTTAAATTTTGTTTTTATTTTGTAAGTAAATTTTATATTTTTTTTTCATTAAAGGTATAAACGATATTAACCATTTTAACTTTTAACATGAAAACTCCGTTGCGGAAAATTACTTCGCAAATAATAGTATAGATTTTGTATACTATTTGAGATTTTTTAAATCATTTTTTCATTTAAGTGCTTTTACAGATACAAATTTGAATTGTTCAGTTCAATTTTTTTCGATTCAGATTCTAAGTTTTTCTGCAAGGTTTACACACCGCTTCAAATTTCACGGTCTCTGGGAGGTCAAACAATACGTGGTAGATTGGTAATTATCTAGAGTGACACATAGCCTAGATTCGTAATCCACAAACTCATGCAATGGTACTTCACTTCCTACGTGGCAAGTAAAGACATGAGACAAGATAATCCATAAAACCGAAACACTCAGTGACCTTCTTCACTTCTTCTTCTTCTTCTTCTTCTTCTTATCTTCAAGCGGTTAAGGACAGAAAGATTCCAAAAAAATGGCTCATTCATGGGATCAACTCGGGGAAATAGCTTCAGTGGCTCAGCTCACAGGAGTAGACGCCGTGAAACTCATCGGAATGATAGTCACCGCCGCTAATACAGCTCGCATGCACAAGAAAAACTGCCGTCAGTTCGCTCAGCATCTTAAGCTCATTGGTAACTTGCTCGAGCAGCTTAAGATCTCCGAGATGAAGAAAACACGTCCCGAGATTCAGGAACCGCTCGAAGGGCTTGAGGATGCTCTTAGAAGATCTTACCTTCTTGTCAACAGCTGTCAAGACAAGAGTTATCTTTACCTTTTAGCCATGGGATGGAACATTGTTTACCAGTTTCGTAAAGCTCAGGACGAGATCGATCGTTATCTCAAGATCATTCCTCTTATTACTTTGGTCGACAACGTTCGGGTTCGGGTAAGTCAGCTTTGTAACATTCTTGTTCTTGTTGTTGACATTGTCTGAATTTGGATATTTGTGTTGATAGGAGAGGCTTGAAGTTATTGACAGTGATCAGTGTGAGTACACACTCGATGAAGAAGATAGAAAGGTGCAAGATGTTATCTTGAAACAAGAATCCACTAGAGAAGCTGCTGCTTCGGTTCTCAAGAAGACGCTCTCTCGTTCTTACCCTGAAATGGGTTTCTGTGAAGCTCTTAGAACCGAGAATGGGAAGTTGCAAGTTGAGTTGCAACGTTCACGTGCGCGTTACGATACGGATCAGTGCCAAGTCATACAACGTTTGATTGCTGTTACAGAAACTGCTGAAGATGTTGAAGATGAACCTGTGAAAGATGACTTGTATGATGATTTGGTTTATCCAAAGAAAAGTAGTACTAGAAGGTTAGAATCATCACAGCACCAGGAAGAATGGCACACTGACTTAATGGATTGTTGCTCACAACCTTCTCTATGTAAGTCATCTTCCTCTGTTTTTAATATGATAATCGAACATTTGTCTCATTTTTCAAGCTTCCTACTTGAAGATGTGAATAATATAAAGGTATGGTATGAAACCACAGGCTTGAAGACATTCTTTTTCCCTTGTGGTACGTTGGCAAAGATTTCAACTGTGGCAACTAACAGACAAATCAGTAAGGAAGCTTTATATAGATGCAGAATAATTTTTGATATGAGGTATCTGATCAGAAATTCGATTTTATGGGCTTTTTCCAGCTTCATCTGAAGTTTGTAGTGAGCTAATGGTGAATTCTTTGATACTCTCATGCTGCTGCTATACTTGTTGCATAAGGAAGAAGCTTCGAAAGACGCTGAATATAAAGGTAACATCCATCTAATTAAAACCCTAGCTAATCGCTTAAGATTGTGATGCTCATGATGTTTTCAATCTCGAAACATGCAGGGAGGGTCCATCGACGACTTTTTGTCACATCTAATGTGTTGTTGTTGTGCACTTGTCCAAGAACTGAGAGAAGTCGAGATTCGTGGAGCTTCTTACGGTAAAACATATACATTTACAGATAGATAGATTTTAACATACCGAGTTTTTGAATGCTTGGATCTAATATTTGAAGCAGATACAGAGAAGAAGAAACATATGACTCCACCATCTCCTCAGTTCATGGAAGAATGAAACTTTTCTAACACGGAACACAACATTTATCTTGGATGATTGTCCTTAAATATTTAATGTAAATTAGAGTCTTTTCAGAACGCTCCTTGTACTTTTCTGTTACATCGAATATGTAATTATGTAGGTGACAAAAAAATTGTAAACAATGGACATCTGATTAAACTAGCATGAACCAACCTATAGTAACTTACTATATTTGCTCAATGGGTTTATTTGTCTCTCTATTTATTTGGTTGATAGTAAAGTATACACAAGAAGAGATCAAAAACTGATAAGTAACATCTTCTCGGTCATCATCAGCAAGACGTTTTCTCTTTAGTGAATGCGTATTACAGTGAGTTAATGGGTTAAACACTGAAAAGTTAAAACAGAACCTCAAATTTTACTTCCATTTGCACTAGAAATTATGTAGAAAACAGTAGATAAGTCAAAAGGTTTTTTCTTATTCTCTAGATACTTTTCTTCACTGACCTAAATTACTACATCCACAAGTGTAACTTAGGTAAAAATGTACAGAGCTTTTGCAGCTTCTCTTCACCATGACTTTTGATTTTCCTCAAAATGGAGACGTCCAAGACCGTTGAAGTGTTTTCCTTGTTTGGTGTTGAGTTGCTTCAACTATCTTTAATTGCATCTTCCAAAAATCAGACAGAAAAATATAACTGGGCATAAGTCGACATTAAGACAGAAACAAAAGTAAGTTCACTTTCTTAAGACGGGATTGAACTTTTAAAGGTTTGTACCTTCTCTTCTTGTCTCTTGAGTCTTGCATTTTCCTTCTTCAAGTGAACAATTTCAAGCTCCAGCTCGTTAGTATATGCCTGAAATTTAATGAAAATAAAAACACATTCCACTTTTAATACACAGCAGAACTGTATAGTCAACACTAGATTTATCATTTTTCTTTTTTTTTTTTCGTTTCTTTTGATTCACATGAATTTGAAAAGGGAAAGAAGGGTAGGGAAAGAAGAGTAAGGAGAGAAACGTTCCTGTTTCCTAGCCCTGGAACGAGCAGCAGATTCTCTGTTCTTGGTCATACGCTTATGCCTTCTGTCTCCTCTGCTTTCATCAGAATCTTGGCTTCTTTTCTTCCCTAAACAACCAAACCTAGCAGATTCATCAAAGTGTGTATCAATGGAGTACTGAGGGTTCAAGCTGGGAACAGTTGCAGGAGGAAGAAGAAGAGAGCCATGGTGAGTGGATGAAGACGAAGGTGGTGGTTCCTTATTCAAAGGCTTGCTGAGGAAATCTTGGAAGATGGAGTTACTAGGGTTTTGGTTCCTCAACACTGGCTCATGATCAATGTTTAGGTGGCGATGTTTGTGAAACGAAGCAAGGTTGATTTCTTTCCATACTTCTTCCATGGTGACTTGAGTCATGTTCTTGGCTTGTAAAAGGGAGTGAGATAATGATGACGATGTTGATGAGGGAACTGAAAAAGCACTATGGTTGATCTTATGTTTTTCTTTTTTTTTTTTGGTTTTGAGAGAGCAGCGAAGAGAGAGAGAGAGACCAATAGCTTCTTCTCTTCCAAATCTCTTTCAATAGATTTGGTCCAGGCAGAAGAGAGACCAAGTTGTAACTGTTGTGGAAATAAAAAAATCTTGTAATGACTTAAATTAACTTAATACAAAAAATTAGATTTTGATGCCGGTGTTATTTTTTATTATATACTAATTATATATAATATTGGATATTGATTTGTATCTTCAGATTTTTATATTATTATTATTTGAGAAGTGATCTTTTTTTTTGTGCAGAGAGAAGTGGTCTTGTTATATGTCATGTTTTCTATGATTTTAAGTTATTTTACTAATATGTTATGTTTTAAATAATTTTAGATGTTCCATTAACTTATTAATTTCAATATTATTATTATTTCATACTTTGTAATTAAATATGTAATCATGTTATCCATAATTGTAAGTTATGTTGCTTATGTATCATGTTTAAGTATATTTTAGCTGATTCATTTGTTTATTAATTTCAATACTATATTATTAATTTTGAACTTTATAATTAGACTAGATGATAACCCGCATCATGTGCATGGTGATCTTTTTAAAAATACATTGTATTTAAATACATATTTTGCTACCAATAATCTTTTTTTTTTTACATTTGCTTAGGGATAGGCATTTGGGTATCATTTAGTTCGGTTAGATTATGTTTGGTTTCGATCTTTGCGGTTGGGTTTGAATCTTTGTAGGTTCGGATAATCCATTTAATTTTTTTTAAAAAAGATTAAATTCATATATACTTTAAAATTTTCAAAATCTAAAAGTAAAAATAATATATAACATATAAATTTGAAAAGTGAATGCCAAAATACTTAAACTTAACATAAAATTGGTATATCGTAAATATTTGGACAAAAAATCAATAAATGCTTCAAATCTTTTTGGTATTTGGAGTATCGTTTAGATATTTTATAAATTCACGTTTAACTATTTTATATATTTCTTAGTATTTTGGAAATTTTTAAAAAATCTCAAGTATTTTGTATATTATTCGACGCTAAATTTAAAAAATAATTAATATATTTAAGTATATAAATATGGTTCGAGTACACTCGGATACCCGAAATATTTCAATTCAGTTTTGGTTCTCTAAATACCAAAATTTTGAATCCGTTTGGATATTTAACAAATTTTGGGTAATTTTTTTACTACTTTTTGGATTAGATTTGGTTCGGTTGTCTGGATTCACTTTTTTTGTCCAACCATATATTTTTTTATTGTAACAAAAATTTAAACGAAAGGAATGATGGTTCATATTGATTTTGGGTATGCAATAGTTTAAAAAAAAACACACTCTATTATGCGCGATCCATTTAGTTAATCATTATGAACTGTTTAATACCCATTAAAAAAACGATTGGCTGAACTAAAAAACGTTATCATTGATCACAAAATTTTCAATGTGAGATTTTTACCATTTTTAATAATTTATGATCATTTAAAAAAAATTTAATAAAACATATGAGAAAAATCTAATTTTTATTATATGATTAATGTGATTTTTTAATTTCTTTTAATAATATCAAATTAAATAAAAAGTAAAGACGATAAAAAATTGTTATGAAATCTTTATTATTCATAAACATTAATTGTGATATATATGTTAATCATATTAGGTAATTCCGTATTTTTTATCTAAGGAAATAATATGAAATATTCTTTTTTACACTAATAATTAAATATGATAGTTAGTATAGTAAAAATATAACATGTGTTTAGTTGGACCAACATATTTCTCGAAGACCACCCACAATGGGGGTGTTGAAACTATGTTTCAACAGTTGAAAGTAGTGCAATGAGAGTGTTGATAAATTTGGCTTATCTACATGTCTTCAACATCTGTTGTAAAATTTCAACAGCTAAAAAAAAGAATTTTGGGTCCAGCTATGCTATGTGACGCATTATGAGTGGATATGCATATTGCTTCTGATTTTTATTCTCACCCAATAATTTAGACGCATTTTTATATAATATATAAATTTTAAAAGTAATAAAATTATATCAAAATTTAAGATATTTTTAATCTACAAATAGAGACCACTCTCATTTCATTTGAATATATAAAAAAAGATGTTATTTCTTCTTTATAATCAACTATTTTAGTGTTAAATTTGTTTTTTTTATGGATCGCAATAATATTTTTTTTTAACAATCAAAACTCTCCTAGTTATTAAATTAGTTATTAATATGTAATTGTTATGTTTTAAAAAACAAAAATAAGAATTAAAATTGTAGGGTAGGATGTTGAATTTTTTAAAACAAAACCATTGTAGAGGTTTATAATAAAGTGGGTGTTGAATAAATGAGTTGGAAGAAAGAGAAGATGAGGTGGAATGTTAAAAGTAGAAAATAAGAATGTTGATATTGGAGAGGGTGTTGAAACCATTATACATGGTCTAAGAGTTATGAAAATCATTCTCATTGTGACACGTGGCTTAAAAAATGTTGTAATGCTCTAGGATTAATATATAGGGGATTTAAACTACTAATCAAAATATTATATGTGAAGTTTTTAAATGTTTTATTAATTTATAGTCGTTTTTAATTCAAAATATAACATATATCGAAAAATCTAATTTTTGTTATATATTTAATGTTATTTTTTAATTTATTTCACAATATAAGTTTAACAAAAATATTAGAGGCTATAAATTTTTTTTTATCAAATCTTCATATTCGAATCATTAATTTTCATATATATATTATAACCATATTAGGTAATTCCAGAAATTTTATTTAAGGAAATAATGAATAGCATTAATAATAATTTTATGTTTAGTTTAATAAAAATATATTATATGTTTATATGTGAAGTTAGGAGTTTTAAAGGCTCATAGGACAAATGTTGTAGTATAAAAGATTGTCAAACCAATTCTAAGAGATTTTAAAACACTGAGAATGCAAGTACTCACTTAATCTAAGTGCAATCGAATAAATTATGGTTTTAAACTAAGCGATAATTAAAATAACTTCCTTGATTAAAAGAAAGGAGAACTCATGGGAGTAGGGATTAGACTTTGGGTGATCAAACTTCGAACTAAGGATGGCGAATGATCAATTAAACTATCAACCTTAAGTGTAGACACATCTCTAAGCAAGCTCTATGTTTAGATGAATGCTCATTTACTAACATAACTCAAAAATCAAATGTCATCGGTTGAATGTTCATAAAATTAATCTTTATGAACAAGTCTATTAGCCATCTTAACACATTTAACAACAAAATTTAAGATATTTTTAATCTACAAATAGAGACCACTCTCATTTCATTTGAATATATAAAAAAAGATGTTATTTCTTCTTTATAATCAACTATTTTAGTGTTAAATTTTTTTTTTGTTATGGATCGCAATAATATTTTTTTTTAACAATCAAAACTCTCCTAGTTATTAAATTAGTTATTAATATGTAATTGTTATGTTTTAAAAAACAAAAATAAGAATTAAAATTGTAGGGTAGGATGTTGAATTTTTTAAAACAAAACCATTGTAGAGGTTTATAATAAAGTGGGTGTTGAATAAATGAGTTGGAAGAAAGAGAAGATGAGGTGGAATGTTAAAAGTAGAAAATAAGAATGTTGATATTGGAGAGGGTGTTGAAACCATTATACATGGTCTAAGAGTTATGAAAATCATTCTCATTGTGACACGTGGCTTAAAAAATGTTGTAATGCTCTAGGATTAATATATAGGGGATTTAAACTACTAATCAAAATATTATATGTGAAGTTTTTAAATGTTTTATTAATTTATAGTCGTTTTTAATTCAAAATATAACATATATCGAAAAATCTAATTTTTGTTATATATTTAATGTTATTTTTTAATTTATTTCACAATATAAGTTTAACAAAAATATTAGAGGCTATAAATTTTTTTTATCAAATCTTCATATTCGAATCATTAATTTTCATATATATATTATAACCATATTAGGTAATTCCAGAAATTTTATTTAAGGAAATAATGAATAGCATTAATAATAATTTTATGTTTAGTTTAATAAAAATATATTATATGTTTATATGTGAAGTTAGGAGTTTTAAAGGCTCCTAGGACAAATGTTGTAGTATAAAAGATTGTCAAACCAATTCTAAGAGATTTTAAAACACTGAGAATGCAAGTACTCACTTAATCTAAGTGCAATCGAATAAATTATGGTTTTAAACTAAGCGATAATTAAAATAACTTCCTTGATTAAAAGAAAGGAGAACTCATGGGAGTAGGGATTAGACTTTGGGTGATCAAACTTCGAACTAAGGATGGCGAATGATCAATTAAACTATCAACCTTAAGTGTAGACACATCTCTAAGCAAGCTCTATGTTTAGATGAATGCTCATTTACTAACATAACTCAAAAATCAAATGTCATCAGTTGAATGTTCATAAAATTAATCTTTATGAACAAGTCTATTAGCCATCTTAACACATTTAACAACAAATGTCTTTGGTAAAGTATGTTAAAAGCTTAGGAGAGTTGGTTCAGACATTTCATCGAACACCTTGTGAGGTGGGAAATGCCTAAAGCTCAACCGTTGGGAACAAGTCTATTAGCCATCTTAACAAATTTAACAACAAATGTCTTTGGTAAAGTATGTTAAAAGCTTTATTTTTCCTAAAGCTTAGGAGAGTTGGCTCAGACATTTCATCGAACACCTCCTGCAACCGAGTGTCAAAAGGCCAAGCGACCATGACGTCTCGCTCTGGGGGTCGCTCTGGCTTGGGAGCGACGTCATGGGGTCGCTCTGGAATGTCACTCCCGCCCTACTCGTCCAATGATCACTTCAAACTCCTCTTTTGCACCTCAAATGCATCCAATCACCTCCAAGAACTCCAAGGATACTCCAATACCTGATAAGAACTCATGTATGCAAAATGCAACATAGAAGTGACTAAATCCTAGTTTATATGATCAAAATGCATATGGATGAATGGATAAAACAATGGAAATATGCAAGACATCAACTCCCCCAAACTTGTTCTTTACTTGTCCTCAAGTGAATTTTCTAGAACTCATAGGAAGAGAGGTTTGAAGGTGGGAGCTTGTAGCCAAAAGAAACACATCTAGAACTCAACTTAACATCCTAAAGAGACATAGCAAATAGCATGAGAACACTCTCTTATTATACTCTAGCTTCTCTAGGCCTATTAACACATTTTTATGCCTTTAAGCAAGGTGCAAAACTCTTCAATTTACAAGCTCTTTTAACCAGCTCTCATATTAGTTCACACACACACACACAAGGTGAATTCTCACAAATGGGCACAAGATCTCAATCATTTGGCTAGGCAAGCGAATGGTCTAATGAGAATGAAAAAGAGGGCTCAAATGCATCATTTTTTAGTGGCTATCACTCAAGAACAAGGAGCTTGATCATTATGCAAAATTTATCTAAGACTAGAGGAAACTCATGCATACATAGTCTTATTCTCATCATTCTACCCTTTTCCTAAGTGATCACAAGTTCTAACCTTTTTTTTTCATCCCATGATCCCAAAAAGACTTTACTCACATCACTCACCAAATGAACAAGTTTCTTTCTCTCTTTTTCCTCTTTTTTTTTTTTTTATGATTTACACCACCAACTGAGGACCCTTCACACACTTTCTACCTCTTAGCTCTAACCTTTCTTCTTTTACCATTTTTTTAGGGTAAGGTTTTCTTCATTTGTTTTGGTCCTTAGTGGCTTTCTTTCTTTTCTCAAGGTTCACTTTAGCTTAACTTTCTCATAATCTCTCATCCAAAACCCAAGATATTAACTTTAAGAACACATAAACCCACTCACCATCCTAGATGCTAGCTCAAAAGAGGTTCCTATGCTAGCAAGAAATGAGAACAATCCTATGTCGCCTCCAATACTCTCAAGATTTTGCACATGATAAGCTATCAAAAGAGGCCTCACTCATGCAAATCAAATGTTTGGTCTCAAAAGAATGGCTTGGGTTTAAATTAAGGGTGTGGAGTACCATTTGGGTTAACAAAAGAGTGGTAAAATGGAATAAGATAACCCAAATGTGTATGAGATCCATGATCAAGTATGCAAGTGCCCATATGCAAGAGATATTAAGTTCATTAAGCCAAATTTCATATTGAAGCTGGTTTCAAGAACAATGTCAATTTCAAGCAAGCAAACATGTTTCAATAAGAGTTTTCAAGGCTCAACTTTCTCATAATCTCTCATCCAAAACCCAATATATTAACTTTAAGAACACATAAACCCACTCACCATCCTAGATGCTAGTTCAAAAGAGGTTCCTATGCTAGCAAAAGATGAGAACAATCCTATGTCGCCTCCAATACTCTCAAGATTTTGCACATAATAAGCTATCAAAAGAGACCTCACTCATGCAAATCAAATGTTTGGTCTCAAAAGAATGGCTTGGGTTCAAATTAAGGGTGTGGAGTACCATTTGGGTTAACAAAAGAGTGGTAAAACGGAATAAGACAATCCAAATGTGTATGAGATCCATGATCAAGTATGCAAGTGCTCATATGCAAGAGAGATTAAGTTCATTAAGCCAAATTTCAGATTGGAGCTGGTTTCAAGAACAATGTCAATTTCAAGCAAGCAAACATGTTTCAAGAAGAGTTTTCAAGGCTCAAAGCGTGCAAGGCTTTCAAGAGATACTCAAGCTACTTGATATGTGTAACGAGGGTGTCACTTTGAGCTCTTGACAAGTGTTCTTTACAAGGTCTTTTAAAATCATTGCTCCCAATGCATATGAATGCAAGATATATGCTCTAGACTCTCCAAGAAATGCAAGTGATGCAACATAAATGATTTTTTTTTGTGTTTTTCAAATTTTCAATTTTTTGTGGTTTTTTCTATGCCAATAAGTATGTAATGCAATGCATGAGACTCATGACAAGAAAACAAAGAAAAAAACATAATGTGAGAGTAAACTTGGAAGAAAGATCATGAGAGAGATATAAGATGAATGAACTAAATATTTAAAAAGGTAAGGATGCACTTACTTGGAGTTAGTGAGAAGGAGGGTCCTTCCCACCCTCAAGCGTGATGGTGGCTCTTGCACTGGAGAATGGCTTAGACCTTCCCTTGCACTTGATCTTGTACTCAATGGCTCCATGAGCAGCTTTTCTTGCTCCACTCACCCCCTCCTTTTTAACACTTTCCAGGTGCTCTACACACAACTCTTGTGAAGACTCGCCAAGAAGATCTTCTTTCTCAGTTACAGCCACTTCAACTTGGTTTTTCTCAATGGATGTGTCTTCACAAGTGATTTTTCCACAATACCCAGCATCCATTGGAGACTGGATTGGGTAAGAGACAGCCTTGTTCACATTGAGGAGTGTGACCTTGTTTGGGAAGTCAATACATGCTCCAACTGTTGTGAGAAATGGAGTGCCAATGATCAAAGGAACTCTCTTCTCAGTTGCCATCTTCAGGATTGTGAGGTCTATAGGGTTTGTGCATTCTCCAATCTTCAAAGGAAAGTCCTTGATGAGGCCAATGGGGGTTGTAGAAGATGAATCCCCAAACATGAGAGAAGATGTGTTTGGCTCCATGCTTTCAATACCAAGTCTCTTCACTATTTACATTGAGATCACATTGACATTGGCACCACTATCCACAAGAGCATCATTCATGGTGATTTTACCAAGGGAGCAAGACAGTGTGAATTTCCCTTGTGACTCTAGCTTAGGGAGAGATTTTGGTGGGACTTGTCGATCAATCAGTGATGTAGAGATGTCTAGAAGCTCTGCTACTTTTTCTTTGTGATCTAGAATGTCCTTGATGAGCATCTTTTGGACATAGACCTCTTGCATTGTATTAAGCTTTGGAAGTTTAACTCCAACATCACTCAAGTCTTTCCTGAACATGGAGATCACCTTCTTTTGAGCTTTAGTGATGACCCTCTTTGGAAATGGGAGCTTGTCAAAAGGAGATATCTCAGCTCTGACTCCAACTGGCTGCACAACCTTTTCCTCAACCTTCTCTACAATCTGAGCATCAGCCTTAGCTACAATCTGTCTCTCATCCTGCACAAGTTCAGATTCATAGAAGAGTCTTCAATCTCATCTACCTCTTTCTTATGATCATTCAATTCAGTCTCAGAGGTAGCAGTAGAGATGACAACATTGCAATGGTCTTATTCTGGGCGCTTAGAGGTGGAAGTTATTGAAAAAAACTGGTTCTCCAAAGCCCGGAACTTGTTGTTGAGGTCATTGTAACTCCCATCAATCTTGGCGTGAAGGTTCTTCAGCTCATAACCAACATATTTTTCACTTCTAGTCTGAGACTCCAAGATCTGTTTCAGAAGAGCATCAATGCTAGTTTCCTGAGGAGTAGAGGTAGAAGGGTTAGCTTGTTGTTGAGAAGATTGGTTTCCTTTGTTGGAGAAACTAGGAGGTGGATTTTGTTGAGGCTGATAGCTGCCTTGCTGGTTGTTCATAGACTGGTATCCTCCTTGTGGGTAGTTGTTGTACCGAAAGTTGGGTTCTTTCTTATACCAGCTGCCATTGGTGTTGATGAAACACAGCTCTTCTTAACCTTCTAGACCGTCAATCTCATTGACCACATGTTGTGCTTTTGGTTTGTGTTACCAACAAAGTTCAGCTGCTCTTGAGTAACTTTTTCTGCAATGAGGATGTCTATTTTATCTTGTAGAGCCTTTAACTCCTTCCTTGTCTGCTTTTCATCACCTCTATTGCCCTTGTCGTGGTCTCCACTGTAGTCTGCGTTACTCTTAACCATGTTGTCAACCAGGCGGTTGCCTATGCGGATGGCTTAAGGAGCCTTAAAATTGTCCTTATTATAATATAGCTCAACCCAAAATAATAAAAATGGATCGAAAAACGAACAGACAAAAAAACAAAAAAGGTGAGTCCTACGCGGCTGCCTACGTGGATGGCTTAAAGAGGCTTGAATAATATAGATTAGATGCTCAAAAATTTAAATCATTGCACATATTTCCTAATATATATTTTCAAAAAATTTGTATGTAAAATAAAATTAAAAAAACAAGAAAATTTAAGTATTTTCGCTATTTATTAAATGAATATGTAATTTCTCTTACATTTTAATAGCTACTATAATTTCATTGAAAACATTCCTCACCATCGACTCCAGACTTTAGCGAATGGATTCCCACAGTCTATGACGCCGTAGATAAAAATGCCACATCATTTATGAACAAAACTCAAACTTACCAAAAACCATATATAAAAACCTATCTAATGAAACCTAAACAACGAATATTGCCTAATTAAGGTTACTTTCAAATTGATAAATCGTTTAATAGCAATATAAATACTATAAATATAGAATTATATCAAGTTTTGACCTACGATATAAAAACTATTTAGAGCAAAAAAAAAAATAGACACCTACTTTTACACACTAAAAACTATTTTATAGCCTAACTATTCCTATAAACCTTACTTCGCATAAAAATAACATTTAACACATTATATATACAATATTTTTACTTTACACTCTTCCTACATTCTTTCCCTATTATAATAGTAGAGTTTCTAGGCTCCACAGCGCGCCACATCAGTAGTTTTGTGGGTTTCGTGTGTGTTTTTAAAAATCTCATAGTCTTGGTAAGATGATTACAAAAAACGAAATACACTTTAGCTGAGTGGTATAAGGTGTCTAATTAAGCCTGCAAGTGCTTGGGTTCCTGCAAGTGCTTGGGTTCAAACCACACAGTTATCATGTATTTTTTTATTTTTTTAGTTGAGTTATTATTATATGGGCTTGTTGTTTATAATGTTTTTATGTTTTTTTCTTTTGGACTTATTGTTTTAAAGACCAAAATAGTTGGATAAACCCTAAAGCTTAATAAGTTCAAACCCAAAAACAGTTAAAATGGATTCAAAAATGAACAACCCGAAAAAAAAAAAAAACAAAAAACAAAAAAACAAAAAGCGAGTCCCATGCGGTTGCCTACGTGGATGGCTTAAGGAGGCTTAAATAATATAGATTAGGAGCTCAAAAAATTTAATCATTGCACATATTTACTAATATATATTTTCAAAAAATTTGTATGTGAAATAAAATAAAAAAATAACAAAAGTTAAGTATTTTTTGTTATTTATTAAATGAATATGTAATTTCTCTTACATTTTAATAGCTACTATAANATAGATTAGGAGCTCAAAAAATTTAATCATTGCACATATTTACTAATATATATTTTCAAAAAATTTGTATGTGAAATAAAATAAAAAAATAACAAAAGTTAAGTATTTTTTGTTATTTATTAAATGAATATGTAATTTCTCTTACATTTTAATAGCTACTATAATTTCATTGAAAACATTCCTCACCACCGACTCCGGCAAATGGATTCCCACAGTCGGTGAAGCCATAGATAGAAATGTCACATCATTTATGAACAAAACCCATACTTACAAAAAAAACATATATAAAAACTTATCTAATGAAACTTAAACAACAAATATTGATCTTAATTAAGGTTTTTTTCAAATTGATAAATCGTTTAATAGCAATATAAATACTATAAATATAGAATTATATCAAGTTTTAACCTACAATATAAAAACTATTTACAGCAAAAAAAAAAAAAAAATAGACACCTACTTTTACACACTAAAAACTATTTTATAGCCTAACTATTACTATAAACATTACTTCGCATAAAAATAACATTTA